TTCCATTTTGACTGAATTTTCTTTAAAAACCTGTCTACAACACAGTGACATATATCTTAACTTGGTGTAAATCCCCCATGACAGTACATTAGGAAAAATAATATAAACACTTGAGTTTATCTATATTTTCTCCTATAGGATCCTCCTAACAGGATATGGAATTCCTCCTATTAGAATTCAAGCAAAATTCTGCAAACTGCTTGATCATATTGTACACATTATTAAATGAAATAGCTTATTCATAATCGATGCTCTTAAAACATGTGGACTTTTCAAACTTTCAAAAACAACTTGAGACCAAGACTAGTGTTAGTTTAGCTTCTCCACCAACAGGAAAATTAAGTTGATTTCCTGAAATCAGACCTAATTATTTGTGAGTGCCCTTGACTAAGCCATATATACAGACATGGTTATATTGGTCAATATTATAGTTTATTTGTTTATAAAATAAAATTAATATTCTGTCACTGTGATGGTAAGAAAACCTAAAATTCCTGATAAAATCCTATAAAACAACCAATATTAGTGTTGCTTAGTGAAGTTGCTGTATAAGCATCATATATTGCTAACAACAGACTTCTGTTGTAAGATGCTTCTACCTTATGAAAGAGGTAAAAAAACACACACACACACACACACACACACACACACTTCAGGCTGATCTAGAAGAAATATTCTGGACCTAGAAGTCAGGAAGCTTGGCTTGTATTGTCAATGCTGAAGCTAAATATTTCCTTGGCTCTAAAGTTTGTTTGTTTTTTTCTATTTTATTATTTCAGAGATTGGGATGCATTTATTTAGTGTGTTGTGGCCTTTTTAAATAGACTTTAAAAATTTATAGTGTATCTCACAGTGAATGACATCTTAGAAATGAAATCTGATAGCTGCCTGACATTAGGTGAATCGCCTCTTTCTTAAGATTTCTGTCCCTTCATTTGCAAAGTAAAGGATTATTGTTAGACTATTCTTCCTTTTTATAAAAATATATGATGATAAGGAAGATCCTGAAACATGCACTGGACAATGGCAGGATGGAGAGCATGATCCTAATGTAGAGGAGATTTTAAACAGAATAAAATCCTGCAGTCCACCCTCTTAGAAAGCTGCAGGTGATCAGGGGAGGCACACAGCCCAAGTTTAAGGTGCTCCTAACAGTCCTCAGCAGCCTTAACTGCAGATAAAGAGCATCAGTGTAGATATGTGCTGAGAGACCTGGCAAAGAAGCTTTGTCACCTGGGAAGAGTCCATTAAGGTGAGAAGCCTAAGAAACCAGGCACCTTGACAGCAGTGGCTGTGGAGCCAGCAGGCAGGAGCAGACTCCACACGGCCACGCAGGAGAAACTTGGACCTGTACTTCTGGAAAAAGCCAAGTCTGAACAATGGGCCAATGCAGATGATGATCAGCCTTTATCCAGAGAAGATATGTGCTCAGATTTGAAGAGCTTGTCCGTAACATATGCAAGGTTCGGTGTAATGAGTTTATGAGACAAATGTTTGGAAATCAGAAACCAAATTCCAGTGGCGCCCTGGCTAGTCACCCTCCGTTTAGCTCACATTTCCAGGATGCTGTCTGAACTCTGTTCTCTCCTCTTAAAGATCTACTCCAAGGCTGAAAGAGATCGACACTGTCACATGTGCTTGCCCAGCGTCACAGAGCAGCCCTGGACTCCGGGTGTTGGCCGCTTACATACCCCTCACTCCTGTTCTGTGTCATTTCTCTGTGAAATGAGCCCCTGCTCGGAGGTGGGACCACTGGATTCCTCCAAGGCAGGCTGCTGAGATGATAGGCAGGCTTTTGTTTTTAGGTTTAAGATTTATAAAAAGATCGGAGAATACATCTAACAAGCATCTGCATGCCCGCCACCAGGACACGACTCAGGTTTCCATTTGTTCACTCATTCTTGCTTCAGATAAAGTTACAGTCCTTGTTCTTTGTCCTCCTCCCCGCCTTCCTCCAGAAGTAATGACTGCCCTTAATGGGGCGTGTATTCTGCCAGTAAAGTTTGGGGCTGCTCACATCCCACTTTTAGAGAAAGAAGGTATGTCAGGGTCTAATCTTTTCCTATTTTAAAACAATGACATTAAAACCTAAAGGAATGGAATAATTAACCCAGAGTCCCCTCTCTCTTCTCTCCCTCCAACGCATTCTGAATTCATCCAAGGACTACTATTTGCTGTGTGCTGTCATGCCTCAAAGATTTTTAAAAAGAAGACAAACAGGAGGGAAAAAAAGGAAAGAGAAGAAAATGTGGCCTGGTTCCAATTCTCTTATCAGGGAGGTGATAGTTACACATGTGAAACAGGAAATGATAGAAAATAACGTAGAATTAAAGGTGAACTCCTAGATGATCAGGGCCAAGGTGGGGAGCGCTTGAAGGTACTATGCACCACCTGGAAGGGGGAGCATTAGTACTGACTGGGTTATTGGGAAAGGCTTTGACGCTGGGGACCATCTCTTCCCGGGCCCTGCTAAGAGGGCAGACTTTGAGAGCCTGAGGCAGAAGGAAGGGGAAGAAATGAAAGGTCACAGCAAGGTAGAGAAGTGGCAGGTGAGGCTGCCGCTGTGTGTGCAGGAGACAGTGCGGCAGGGCTGGGTTGAGCACTTGGAGAACTTTTCACCTTTCAAACTAGCAATGACATCTTTGTTCAGCCATAATAGCTAGTAAATGGTGATCATTTAAGAGAAACACTCACTGGTGAGAATGCAAATTGTTAAGACTCTTCTGGAGAAAACCCTGTCTCAGAAGCCACAAATTTGTGTGTTCTTTGATCCAGCAATCAGCCATGTGGTTTCCAACAGAAAAAATAGCAAATAAATTAGATGTTTAAAAAAGGGCATTGTCATTATATATTTAAATGTGGTAATGTAATTAAATGGTATTTTAGAGCCATGGTAAAATATATGGAACCATAAACATAGAAAACCTGTTAACACTCCAGTATTTTTTTTTTGTTGTTAAAATAAATGCACATAGAAAAAAGACTGAGGTAAAAATACACCTGAATATCATCAATGGTTATTTCTGAGAGGTGGAATCCCTTGTGATTTTTATTTTCTTCTTGTTGCTTGTCCAGATTTTCTAAATTCTCCTCAATGACAGTGTTTGTTTTTGTAATAAGAAAATTATAAAAATGACAAACCATAATAATTATGCCTTTGTTTAAATAGTCTAAAATCTCATGGTACCAAAAGGTAAAATAATTCTCACTGATGAAAAATATTAATTCTACATGTTCTAGAACCTGAGGTATAATGTACTAGCAGTCAAAATTCCCAAATGATGCTGTGATTGTGAACGAAAACACACACTCATGCACTTACAAGAGGTAAAGAGTGACTTATGAAGCCTAAGGCTTGAACATGGTAATCATTTAAAGGCCGAGTTAGTTCCTTTAAGAAAACTGCTGTCCAGTGCACTTCTTCAAAGGAAACTTCTCCCCTGACAGAGAGTATATCTGAAGTGTAGCCTAATGTCTGTTGCCTTTTTTATGTTTGATAAACTACTCCTTAGTCAAGCTTTTAAGTTATTTTTTTCCTTAACAAAGTAAGTGCAAGCAAGCAGAACAAAACCAAAACATAGGATTTCTTTCTTGGAACCAGCATTTCTCAAATTTTATCACCAGCTTACCAATGATTTGGGGGAAATTCTTTATTTGTTTGGAACTTCAGATTCCCCTATAGAAAATGAAGTATTCATAGAATTTTCCTTTAGCCTTAAAATTCTGTGGTTCAATGATGATAACAAAATTTCACATTCAGATTGATATATTGTACACACAAGACCATTCTCAAAGAAAGAGAAAGGCCAAGGGGCCCATTGTTTTACCTCCATTTGTCCCAAAAGTTGTATTTTGGGGCTAGTGAAATACAATTATGTTTGAATTGAGTGCCCTTTATATTGGTCTGGTGATTAGACCAGTCCCAGTGGAAATGTTTGCTTTGATTTACCTGATAGTACTTTAATCATTGTAAAAATATACACCATGAGTAATAGAACCAATTAGCCTTTCCCTGTGTGTGTGTGCATCCATGAGAGAGTGTGTGTGTGTCTACAGCCTAGATAGCAGAAAGCAGCTAATGGTAACAGCTGGCTCTGGTCCCAGGATGATAGGAAACAGAAGTAAGAAAGCATCAAAAATGAGTTTACTTAGTTCACAGATTTGCCTATTTAAATAAAGAAACAAAAAGAGGGCCTTGCACAGATCAATGACCATACCGTGCTAAGACCAAGGTAAATGATTGACTCGATTCCCTGTAGCTGGGGTCCAAGGGAAAAGAAGTAAAAGACCTTAAGTGGTCCCATAAAAGACTGACATCACTTTTTTTTTTTTGAAACAAAATACCTTTTTTCCCTTGTCTCATTACATATCATAAATTCAGACAGAACTTGGAAACTTGAGTCCAGAAAACTTGCTTTTGAAGTTATATTCCTTTGTCCCTTCACTAACAAACATTCCTAGCACTTCTCAGAAGCTGAGCGTCCTGCAGCATTGGGCGTTTGCTGGAGTCCAGATAATAGGATGAGATGCAAAGCGAGGTTTTCATTTCAGCTGCATGATTGTCCTCCTCCACCCCAGTTCCCATTCACAAAATCAGTTGAGGGTTTGTTGAAGATATTTTGGAATATATTGTTAATTTCTCTAGCCTTAAGAAATGGAGAAGTCCATTGAAAAAACAAGATCGAAGAAACTAGTGGTTATTTCCCCCTCCTCGTGCCAGTGAGGATGAAAAGAATGGAGATAAACTCCACCAAGCATACCTTTCATGGTCTGAATGTGGATCTCTCTGGAAGGTCGAGCACAAGGACATCTGTGCCTGGCAGGGGGGGACGTCCATAACTTAGGTACTCCGGGATACATGACACAGAGGAGGAACATCATTCCATGAGCTTTTATTGAAATAATATTGGAGAGTTGGGGAGAAGAAACAATGCTGAATTTTTTTCTTAAATGTTCCCCAGAACAAACTAGAAACAAACATGTGAATTTTTTGTGTGTAGGTCATTGTCTCTGAAGCCCAGGACAAAGAGAAAGAGCCTAACTGGGCTGATGGACTGATTACCACTCCTTCACCCGAGGCTGCTACCATCCAGGAGCCATTGCTCAGCCTCCCTGAGGATGGGGAAGAGGGTCTGGAAACAAGAATTCCAAGTCCCATTTTGAACCTACAGCCAGAAAAGTTGGGGCACAAAGGTAAGAGATATCTGCCAATCAGCTGCTACGTCTACAGTGTCAAGGCACAGAAAGGGTGGTTCTCTTAACTCTCATTCAGAAAGAAGGGCGGAAATGGTGGGGGAAAGGGAGAGAGGCAAACCATGAGAGACTCTTGAATGCTGACAAAAACTGAGGACTGATGAATGTGGGGGGGAGGGGGGGATGGGCATGAAGGAGGGCACTTTGGGGATGAGCACTGAGTGTTATGTAGAAACTAATTTGACAATAAACTATTTGTAAAAAAAAAAAAAAAAAAGAAAGGACATGCATTGACTCAGGGAGGACAAAAGACGCTTTTCATTTTTTCACAGGTAGAACTAGAAAAGGCACTGGCCATGGGACAAAGTTGGCCAATAAAAAAATTTAAAGCTCTTGTAATGTTTATTGGGTTTTTCTTTAGAGATTTAGTTTTTTTTTAATGTTTTCTTATTTGTTTTTGAGAGAGAGAGAGCACAAGCAGGGGAGGGGCAGAGAGAGAGAGAGACAGGGAGACAGAGAATCCAAAGCAGGCTCGAGCTGTGAGTACAGAAGCAGGGTTCAAACTCACAAGCTATGAGCCAAAGTCAAACATTTAACCAGCTGAGTCACACAGGCACCCCATGTTTATTGTTGTTGTTTTTTTTTGTTTTTTTTTGTTTTTTTTTTTTAATTTAAATGCCTTTACAACAGTACCTGGTTGGCTCAGTCAGTTAAGCATCCGACTCTTGGTTTCAGGTCAGGTCATGATTTCACAGTCCATGGGTGTGAGCCCTGCGTCAGGCTCTGCATTGACAGTATGGAGCCTGCTTGGGACTTCTCTCTCTCCCTCTCTGCTTCTTCCTGGCTTGCTTGCTCGCTTGCTCTCTCTCTCTCTCTCTCTCTCTCTCTCTCTCAAATAAATAAACAAACATCTATAAATAAATAAATTTAAATGCCTTTGCAGATGATAGTGGTCTCATTTTGCCATAGACCTACCACTCTCTAGTCTTATATGTGGCCTTGACACATCGAATTTTTGAGTCCTAGATTATAGAAGAGGAAAAAGCCAGAACCTAGATTCCAACTCATCAACATATTTTCTGTGGAGTTACTATCCATAGAAATTAATCATTATATACATCATTTCTGAAGAACATGGAACAGAGACAACATGTTTGCCCAAAAGAAGCTTAGATTGGTTTGACAAGTTACACAGTATATATTACTTAGTTACTGTTGTTAACAGTGGAGATAGTGAAAGTCTACTCCTTTCTGTTTGGTCTAAGGAGCCTTCATAGGGGAAGTAGATTTGGAGGTTAGTTTTAGAAAATAAAGGAATAGAGACATACTCTACATCTGGGGAAATGATTATGGGAGATGGAGAGAGGGCTGGTTTTACTATTGAGAAATGAAGCTTAGGGCAGACAGATGTCTCACAGAACACAAGTCTCAGGTAGTAAGTACCTGGTTGGTTTTTATGGCTTTTCTCACCTTGGAATCACTTCCTCAGTAAGGAATACTAATCAAGACACTAAGGAGTACCATGAAATCAGAAGGACTTAATGAATGGCTTTACTATTGTACTATTTCTCTTTACAGTGGAAGTGTTTCTGAGACTCGTTTGTAAATAGACATTAAAAGTTCATGATTTTATTGTCTTACAAGAACTGCTCTTTTTATTTTAAAAACTTTTAAAATATTGATTTGTTTTTGAGAGACAGAGAGTGATAGGGAGGCATAGAGAGAGAGGGAGACAGAGGATCTGAAGTAGACTCTGTGCTGACAGTAGACAGCCCAAAGCAAGGCTTGAACTCATGAACCATAAGATCATGACCTGAGCTGAAGTCGAATGCTTAACCCACTGAGCCACCCAGGTACCCCAAGAACTACTCTTTTTGAAAGAAATATGTGATATAAAGAGAGCCCTTCATTTTATTAATTTATTTTTTGGTAACTTATTTTATTTCCATTTAAAGTTTATTTATTTATTTTGAGAGAGAGGTAGAAAGAGTACATGTGTGTGCAAGAGGAGGGGAGGGGCAGAGAGAGAGGGAAAGAGAGAATCCCAAGCAGGCTCTGTGCTGGCACTCTATCCCACAATCCATGAGATCATCACCTGAGCCTGAACCAAGAGGCAGGCACTTAACTGACCGAACCACCCAGGCACCCTAAGGATTTTCCTTTTCTAGTGGGCACAAGTACATAGAATCACAGTGGTGCTTTCCATGAACAGACTGAAGGGAATGTGTACAGAAGGCTGAGATCCTCTTTATTCCAAATGTTAAACTGATTTTAGATCAAGTCCAAAGTAAATGAAGATGTCCTATTTTTCTCTGGCCAACTAATCCCTGCAAGAGTGTTAGCCAATGAAAGCTCAGAGGGCTATGTTTTCAGGGAAATATATTTTTTTAATGAGATTGCATGAAGATAAAAAACTCTTATGTTTTCCAAGGAGTAGGTAATGGTGGAGTTTCAGGTGCCGGAGGAAATATTTTAGGTATTAGGGAACGTAACTTTAATTTGGAACCACATTTTCTTCCTTGGTGTGTTTGTGTGCATGGAGGATAAACTTTGTAAAGCTTTCCCTTTTCATCTTTTCAGGGAAAGAAAAGCCTATAATAACATGGAATCCTTTTCTGACTCTAGATCCTAGATGCTTGGAACCGCTAAAGCCAGGAAACTGTGGCGAATATGTAGTTCGATGGTATTATGACAAACAGGTCAACTCCTGCGCCCGCTTTTGGTTCAGCGGCTGTAATGGCTCAGGAAATAGATTCAACAGTGAAAATGAGTGTCAAGAAACCTGCATTCAAGGATGAGTAAGTGAGTCAACCTCTAATGAGTCAGGTCTGCACACCTAGGAGGAACCTCTATAATTTCAACACATCCACCCAATACAAATACATATGTACATATCTGAGTACATACTGAGTACTTAAAATTCACAAGCATAGGTGAGTCCTTACAACCACCCCTAGGATATAGGTATTAACTACTTTTATAGGCGAAGGAGCTAAGGCTCTGAAAAGTTCAGGGACTCCTGGACAGTTATCCAGCTAAAAAGTAGCAGATCTGGGGATCTGAGTCAGGGATGTGTAATCTCAAGGCACAGGCCCTCACTACATCACAGCCAGCAATGTGGTTCTGATTGACATGAATTCTTATTCTATGAATTATGTCGGGTTAAACTCCTGGCCCGACCTCCCAACTCCTCTCCCCCAGCTCCCACTGAGTACATCTCACTGGCCTCAGTCCCCAACCCCCTTACAGCCCTGTCTATAGCAAAAGGGAGGTGGTAGGGAAGGATTTGAGTTTGGGAATTAGAAGGGATGGGAGTGTGTCTGTATGGAATAGCAGGTGGTGAGATAAGAAAGACATTCTGCTTGGAGGGAACCCAACAGGATGATGATTCTGGGAAATGAGAGACACTGGGATAGGAGTGAGGAGGTTGGTCAGATTATTTTCTTAAATTTTTTTAATGTTTTATTTATTTCTGAGAGAGAAAGAGAGAGACAGCGTGAGCAGGGGAGGGACAGAGAAAGAGGGAGACACAGAATCTGAAACAGGCTCCGGGCTCTGAGCTAGCTGTCAGCACAGAGCCTGACATGGGGCTCTAACCCACGAACCGTGAGATCATGACCTGAGCCAAAGTCAGATGCTTAACCTACTGAGCCACCCAGGTGCCCCGGAGGTTGGTTAGATTTTTGCCTCGCTAGCCCTGAAGGTGATTGAGAAACCAATCTGAATGAAAATTACTAAAGTCAGGGCACCTGGGTGGCTCAGTCTGTTAAGCATCTGACTCTGGCTCAGACATGATCTGGCCGTTTGTGAGTTTGAGCCCCACATCAGGCTATGTGCCTACAGCTCAGAGCCTGGAGCCTGCTTCAGATCCTGTGTCTCCCCCTCTTTCTACCCCTCCCCCACTTGTACTCTGTCTCTCAACAGTGAATAAACCTTAAAAAATATTTTTAAAAAAGGAAATTACTTAAATTTATTAACAACTGTCACTTCTCACACCTCTAACATCTTTGGTAACAAAGGTAGAAAACAAAACTATTTAAGACAAAATCTGTAATTTAAACAAAGAAATTCTTTTCGCCCTTCCTTTAAAATATGTAAGTGAGACTTTCCGTTTTGGGGGGCAGAATGAGAAAGCACTTGATAGCCAGGGACTCGCTGAAGCCCATAACTGCTCCTGAACAGGGTATTTTAAAGACAAGACTCACTCTGAAAACTGAGTCACCAAATTGAAATATGACCCAAGAGGGTAACAGAGAATTGGCTCTGTCACTTTTGTAATAATTTTGGGACACCAGCCTGGGAAGATCATTAGTTCTGAGCTGTGCTCAGACAGCATTTATATATGTCATCTTACAACACACTTTTTTCTCTTCTATCAGGCCTGTGACCCTCATTCGAGTTTGGAGGTACAAAACAGAGCACTCAAGGAAGAGGAAGCTGAAAGAATAGCCATCTTAACAAAAACAATTTTGTGCGATTTAATTAAATTTTTGTTATGTAATAGTTGATACCACAAAAGAACATATGCTATATACTTGTAAGTTACCAAACACTATAATAAGATGAACAACAATGAACATATCATACAGACCATGAACCAAACCTAATCAATTCTGTTGAAGCTTCCCGTGTCCTTCTTGCAATCCCAGCCCCTTGTTCCCTGCCAGGGATAACCCATCTTGAATTTTGTGTTTACCACTTCACTTTGCTATTGGGTTTTTATATGTAATTTTACATGTAAAATCATGTATCTCTGTAGCTCTCCACAGTACATAGCCTTGCTTATTTTAGAGCTTTATAGAAATAAGATCATGTTCTAGTTTTCTGCAACTTGCCCTTTTCATTCCATATTATAATTAATCTATATGTGTTACCATATCTAAATGTATTCCTAAGTAACTTATTATTTAGGTTTTTTGAGCTTTAGAACATTTGTTTCATAATATGTAATTCTTTGCAACTTGGTGTGTCAATACATTATAATCCATACATGTCCATTTACATTCAAAGTGGCATCATGTCTGTATGCATATATCACAAAATATGTTTAACCATTGCCTTGTCTATGATTAAACTGTTTCCATTTAATTTTTTCCCCCTGTTCCATCAGTGTTGCTACAAATGAGCTTATGCAGTTTTGGGTGTATAGGCACCCAAAAATATATTTTCTAGGATATAATCCTTAAGGCTCAATTGTTGAGTTTCAGGACATATAAGTATTCAAAAATAGTATATTATACCAATTTCCCCCAAAGTGTTTTGAATCAATTCATTATAAATTCTCACCAGCTGTGTATAAAAGTTTTTCCTGTTTGATAATCTTGTCAACACACAGTGTTGTCAGACTTCTCCATTTTGCTAATAATAGGTGTAAAATGGTATCTTGTTTTAATTTGACTTTCTCTGGTAGCATCTAACCTTGTTTGTTTACCATCTGGGCTGAGCCTTCCGTGAAATGTCTGTTGATATTTGGAGATTTTTCTATTGGATTGTTTGTCTTTTCTTTCCTTATTGAATTTCTGGAGTTCCTTGTAGATTCTGATATTGAATTCTTTGTGTATGATTTGTGTCCTCGTATCTTTCTAAAAGCATTCATTATCATTTTACATAAACTAATATCTTTGAAAAAAATTCTTCATTTAAACGAATTCACTTAAAGTCACACCGGACTCTGAAAGTTTGTAAATTTTAAACCCAGCTTTAATCAGGCTCTTACAATTGCCAACAATCCTTAGAGTCTTCTAGTCCTATGTCTCCTCCTTATACCCTTTTGACAAATACTCCAAGTGACTAGGTCATCTTGGGGTGAACATCTCTGGTAGGACAACTATCTCCTCCTGAGGCAGCCCATTCTTTAGATAACACTGACTCTCACAGATGCAACTTGACCTGATGTCTCCTGTGACTTCCTTTGCAACAGCTCCTGCTCTGACCTTGTGGAGCCTTTCAGAATGGTTGCGTTCTTGGTTTAAAAGGGTTGATATGGGCTCCATCACGCAATGGATAGCGCATTGGACTTCTAAAAAGGTTGATATGTCCTCCTTCATTCTGGGTGCTTTGGTGGCTTCCCCTATTTCCATGGCTCTTTTGTCATTGTGACAAGCTGAGCATGTCCTCGAGCTTAGGACAATGTTCTTGGTGACTGCTGTATGAGCGAAGTGTGAACTAGCACGTCCCCATTCTAAATATGAGATTGCTATAAAAAACCTAAGATGGCTGCCATGTCAATAGAAGACACAGGAAAATTTCCTTCTGTCTTGGAAGCAAAAAGAAACAGGAATTATGCAGAGGAATTCTAAATAGTAAGTAGGACTATGGATTGCAAAGACAGCAAAATTAAAGATGTCTTTCCCCATTTCTCTCTAAAATTGACCAGAGGCTTGTTTTATTTTTACCATCCTTCACATTTGCCCTTAAGCTCCATACTCATGATTTGACGACATTATTTTTAAGAACTGATGGAATTGTCCCGTTATTTGCTCCTTAGCATATTAGTTGGTGCTACCTTAAATTTATCACTTGACTGTTTTCCCTCCCTTAACGCTGTAAGGAAGAATGCTCTAGTTTTGCAATATCTGCAACTTGGTTGGGGGTTTTCTCAAAGTGATTCTATTATGAATAAATCCCTGCTTGGCCTTGTTTCCAATTGTCTAAAACATTGAAACATTGAAACACTCTCCTCCTTAAAATGCTTTAGGGGTACTCCATCTTTTTCAAGACACACAGGGTAAATCTTTCAGCATAGTATTCGAGGCCTTTCAGGACCTTTCTGCTAGTTACATTTCTAGTGTATTTCCCTCTGGGTCTTTATACATGTTCTTCAATTTCAGCTACACTTAAACATTTTCTACTTTATGAACACACCATTTATTTCCCTTTGGTGTTTTCCCTTCCTCACTGCCTCCCTGATGGCTTCCCTCTCTCCCTTCTTCACTTAGCATTATGGAATGTGTTCTGTATCAGAAGATAAAGAGCTACCTTAGGTTTAAGTGCTTCACAGCTGCTCATTTTGTTTAATCAATTCACCTTTGCTGAGCCTTTAAATGTTCCCAATCTTTTGCGATGATGACCCAAATTTCATTGAATATCCTTGTATACATTTGTGTTTGTGTAAATATGTTCATAGGACAAAACAGAATATATAGAATCTACATATTCTATAGAACCTATATAATTTTGCCCTATGAATATATTCTATAGAATATAGATTCTATATACAGATTCTAGAACTTAATAAAGTGAGCACATCACTTTATTGCCCTATGTAGGGCAAATTTATAAGGAAAACTGTAAAGACACAGAGAATGTACTTTTCAAAATCACTTTATTAAGTTCTTTTTTTAAATTCCAGTATAGTTCACATAACAGTGTTATATTAGTTTCAGGTGTGCAATGTAGTGATTTAACAGAGGAACGCCCTTTTGATAGGTATGTCAAAGCACCTTGCTTAAAGACTGTGCCAATTTACATTCCTCCAACACAGGAGCGTGCCTGTTTTTTCACCTTCTCACCATCATAGAGTGCTATTACTTATTTGATTTTTGCTCATCTGATGGTTAAAAATGTAATCTCACTTTTGATTTCATCTGTATTTCTCTTTCTTTTCGGAGGAAGTGTTGCTCCAACCACAGCTCCCCATGTCCACAGAAGGATGGATAGAGAATGACAGCAAAGGCAGGCAAAGCTCCACATCATTGTCTATACTGGAGTCGAGGGCCAGGGCTGAGCTGCCGCAAGCATGGCTGGACCACGTAACCAAAGGGTCCTGGTTAATCCTAAGCAGTTTCTAACCAAATGATCCCTAGCATATTTTTTAGTGCCTTGGGCAAGTAAGCAGAGAAAGGCATTCATTCATTCATCATTCATTCATTCATTCAACAGTTACATACTGCCTACATGCACCAGGAAACATCTCTGAATTTATGAAGCTTATTTTCCAATGAGGAAGAGATAAGAGTCACATGAATGTCAAATTGAAATTAATCTGTAAAGGTCTGTGATGTGCTCAGTACTATGGAACAGGTAAAGAGGTCCATCGTGCTAGAGCATGTAGTAAATACAGCAAGAGAGAGTAAGCCTTCAATGCTATAGAAGACTGTAATTGTTCACAATTATTCTTTCTTTCTGTACCCACTCCCTGTGGGTAGGGTGTACTTTCCCACATGTTTGACTTTGGGCTTAGCTAATGACTTGCTTTGGCCTATGGAATGTGTGCAGATGTGAGGGATGCCAGGACTGAGCAGAAGCTTTAAATGTGCTGCGTGCTTTGGCCTTGTGCCACTTGCTCTGGACCTTCACCAAGAAAACAGCGTGTCTTCACCTTTGTTCCTGGAAAAAGAAGATGCACAGAACTGAAACGAGCCCAGGCAAGCCCAGTTGGACCAGGCAAAGCTGGCTGAGCCTGGCCCAGCTAGAGCCAGCTGCAGCCCTCATGTCATGTAAACAAGAAATAGACGCCCGTTGTCGTCCGCCACTTAGATGTTGGATTGTTTCTTAGTGAAGTAAAAGTTCACAAATACAAATTTCTCCTCCCAGGCTTGCCTTGGGTGTATGGACGGCTATAGTTGCTGGCCTGGCTGACAGAAGTGAGTCCTCGGAGATGGTCTCTTCCCTCTCTCTTAGTCTCTTCTCTTGTAGGAAAAGGCTCTGACATGTCTACTGTTGCAGCTTCTTGGAAGAAGAGAGAGAGAGAGAGAGAGAGAACTTTGCTTCCAACCAAGGTGAAGTAACAGGGACCAGATTTACCCTCATTCCTAAAACACCCAAAACCAGACAAAATATAGGAAATGACAATTTGCAGAACACGCTAAATCAGTCAAGGAAAAGCAATCCTCCTGAATAAGCAGGAAAGAAAATGAAGTGAGCCCTGCAATGGCCCCAGCCTACTGATTTGAAAGCACTTCCAAGCCATAGTGCAAAGAGGGGGAGCGAAGGCAGAAACTGACAGACTCTCGAGGTTGAGTAAATGAGCTGAGAGTCCAGGAAGACCAAGATGACTAGAATTCTAAGGATGAAGACAGAATGCTGGAAAAGAGGCAAGTTCACAGAGCAAAAACGTGGGTGATCTGTGGAGGGGCCCTCTTAAGTGTTCAGCTAAGTACCGATGCGTGAATGCACATGAGAAAACTCCTCAAAGCTGGAAGCTGAATCAGCTGAAGGACTAGCGGCAACAGGTGCCAGGTGCTAACTGTGGGCCAGACAACAGTGCCCGTCACACCAGCCAGACAGGAAAACCTCATATTCTGGGCCATAAAATAAGTGCCATTAAATTTAAAAGAGCACAGATCATTCGGTGTATGTTCTCTTATTGCAATGGAATTACATTATAAGCCAACAACAAAAATGTATTGAGAAATCTCAGAGTATTTCCAAAGTCTATAAAACCTGTCTCTATCCATGGGCCAAAAAAGAAACCAAAAAGGAAATTACAAACTGTTTAGAATT